CCCCAAAACCCCAAAACCCCAAAACCCCAAATTTAGCGGCCAAATTGAAACTTGAATAATTAGAATATTTTAGGCTTAAGCTAAATCAGACAGCTTAGTCACCTACATATTACCTGCATTCACAAGCCAATAGCCAATGGAATCCACTCTGAAGTGAGAAATAGGAAGCTGAGCGAACACAGCCTTGCATTATCAGAAAGACTTCAAAGTTTATATCTGTGAAGAGCATTCCAAGATGACTCAAAGCCAAAACTGAGAAAAGCTCGAGGATAGCGAAGGAATTGAAGAGACATTGAAAGTGTTAGAAGAGTGTATCAAGAACTTCTCAGTTTCAGCAGAATCTGAAGATAAAAAGGAAGATTTAGCTAATAATAAAGAATTCATTGATTCCTTCAAGGAAAAGCTGACTCAGATATCTACAAATTTCAACTGAGAGAGGGAGAACCAAAACTTTCATCAGTACTCCAGCATCCGTAAAGAAGTAGCAAGTGTAGCTAAAGAGCTCAAGGAGAATCCCTTCTTTCAAAAATTCTGCATTCACAGCTATATAAGTTTGATGTGAGATTATCTATCTTTTGATAAAGCCAAGGTTGAGAACATCACTGATAGCGTATATGAACAAGAAGAGGACCCAATCGAACCTCAAGAACTACTTCCTGTGCATCCTCAGCCAGAGTACCAACAACAAAGTACACTAGAAGATGAGCTACAAACTTTGAAGCTAAGATTTGATCAATTTAAAACTAAGGCTCTGACAATGATCAACCTACGCTCACACAATGACCTAGAAGAGTCCTATGAGTTAATCACAGGTCAGAAGTTGCAGATTGAAGCAGACAAAAGGATATCATTTGATTGATCTTCAGAGGAAAATACTAAATTTATGGAATCAATATCTGATCGTGTTCTTCCAGACTATCCTTGTCTTCGAATAGATCGTATTAATGCAGACTTCAGGCTTATGAAGCAATTTGTAATATCATCATTCCCTCAGAGAGTTGAGAGACTTGACTTTAACACTAATGGGATAATGAGCAATGCAGATGACATATTAGATATCTATTCTCACATAAGTTCAAGAGTCACTCAACAAATATATCTTTATAACTTTGAGGTTAGTGAACATTCTATGAAGATACTGTTGAATACTTCCAGATTGAACCAGAACATTTTGGGATTCATTTATTGAAAAATTGACCTTGATACAGTTCCAAATTTTAAGCATTCCTTAAATTCATCAAAGATAAAGACTCTGAATTTTGCTTATTGAGGTGAGCCTGAGTATTGTGATTGGAAAAATTATCCTGAAAGATTTTCAAATTTAATCCAAGGCCTATCCCAAAGCGAACGATGAAGATATACTCTTAAAGATATTCATCTCAAGAAATGAGGTTTATCGAAAGACTCTGTCAGGAAAGTCTTGGATACAAATGGGTTTAACAAAACAAACATTTTAAATCACTCAATTTAATTCCATAATTTCAATCAACCCTTCCTTCTCTTCCAAATCTTCTATCTCTCCTTCCAAAATCCCTCTCCCATCTACCAATTTTCAACTGAGCCTTCTCAAAATCCAAAATCTCAATAAACCCAAGCCTGGCCAAGCCAAGAGAGCCACACACAACCTGCACAACCTGGCCTGACCCATCAGCTAGCTGAGCTACTAAGAAGACTTATCACTCTAAGACTCTAGCCTGAGATCGTCTCTGAAGAAAGGATTCTAGTAGAGTCTTAGAGGAACAGAAGAGCTTAAGATATTGGGATTGGAGGATTTGGCTCTTTAGGTTGGCTTGTATTTTGAGAGCCAATTGGATTTAATTTGGTATTGATTTACTAAACTTTATTTTTAAATACTATAATTTACAAAAGTCATAAACAAAATTATTCAAATTACAAAATCCAAACTTAACATTAAAATCTTAAACGTCTCAAAATCTTCTAAATATTACTTACAAACAATCAATACTCTACATCACCCCCGGGGTTTTGGGGTTTTGGGGTTTTGGGGTTTTGGGG